TCTACTCACTTCGGTTTTGTTCAAATTCGTACTAATGTTCTGTCTGTGCCATGTGTATTTTGGTTAACAAACTAATTTTATTTTACGAAATACTGCATTTATGCATCCTGAACTTAAGATTCTCGGTTTAGATTTTATCTTAAAAGTAACTTTACTGATTTTTATGTGTGTTCATATCTCACTGCAATTATAAATTTTAATATTAATGAATAACAAATGTAGCGGCTGAACTTAATCCTAACTAGCATAAAAGAACATTCTTCATCAAGAACTACCCTAGGTTTTGGTGTAGTTTGGTGGTGAACTTCGGTTAAATTATCTTTACTTTTAAGAAATAGTGTATTTGTGCATCGTAAATGAATGATTCTTGTATTATATTGTATCATAAAATAATTTTACTGATTATTATGTGTATCATATCTTCTTGTAATTTCAAAATTTAGTGTTACTTAAATCAAAAATGGTGGCGTCTACTTTGCACCACGTAGTGTAGAAGAGCATTCTTGGTGTAGTAAAACACGGGGTTATGTACGGTTTGTCTAACGTGAGAACTCCCCTAGCCATTCGCCTGGACCCGTGGCGGTGACTATGGTAACGAGGTATAACTATTTCAAGTAGGGATGTGGGATCACTGTTTTGGACAGGTTTCGACGAGAGAAAGGGAATCTTTTTCTTCAGTCTATTGCGTTATTCTTGTTTCCATAGCAACGGACGGCCTCAGACTTTGTGACGTGGGTAGTTCTTACCGTAGACAAACTATATGGTGTTTCTTTTTTGCTGTAATAAGGAAGAAAAGGATAATAAAGTAAAAAAAAATGAATGAATAGAGTGATAAAATGTACTTTATTTGGGAGTGTAACAAAACATCGCTATAAACACTCTAATAAATCCCATAAAACAATTAACGGCACTTGAAAAATATCTGATTACACAATATCACAGTTTATTATTATTAAATGAGAAGTCAGACCGACAGATATGCAACGCTTCTAGCTTCTTAACATCGAATGTGTACGTTAAGATTACTTTTTACAGTACGTTTTGTGAAACAGGGACTTTACAAGGATCGGTTACCCAAGTAAAAATTCTTGATGCTCCCATAAAATCATTTTGATGGCTTATGTCAGTTTTTAGTGCTATTCATGATGGCCCAACATCATTTGATGGTCACCATCATCCAACATATTCCATTATGCGTTCATGATTTTTGATATGCCAGAAAACTTCCATCATTTCCTGATGAAAAATGCTACTTTAACACTATGATGGTTAACCATCAGTGGAAGTTTGATTCTCATGGATCAACAAGCCATGAGATGGTCCATGATGGTTCCAAATATACATTTCCATGATGGTTTAATGGGAATTCTTGTCGGTTTTCAGGAATATGCCATCAAAATAANAGAGAAATTACGAACAACAACTGAATTGTTGAAAACTATTGGGCTTACTTATTATAAACTTTGGTTTGTTTGAAACATGATAGATGAAGTAAGAAAACAATCTAATAATAATTATTGTTGATTTAGCGGAAATTTATTGTCGAAAATTTTTTTTATGCTGCCTATCAAAAATCAGCCCGAATTCCTAAATTGTGATGATGGTTGTTCCTGATCTTTCCAACATTTGATTTCTAGGAAACTATGATGGAAATTTCTGAACAAAACATGTTCGCTATTTCTATGTTAGCCATCATAAATCAATCCGAATTCCTATATCGAGGTGATTCTTACTTATGTTGGTTACCGTCAAAAATATAATGGTTCGTAATGGAATTATTGATGGCTACCATCAAGTTGATCCATCAATGAAAAAACCATCAAAAATTTTGATTGGGTATCATTAAACAGCTTGGATCAGACAAGATAAGCACATTTACAGACTCTTTAGTGTTTCTAAAACTGAAGAAACGGATTGTTCCATTAAAGAATTAATTATTGAAGAAATGAATAACATAGAGTAATGGTGCTTTTGCGTTCTCGAACGACATTGCATATCTGCGGGAAACTTCTCAATAGGATTAATAAAGGAAAGGACATTTTCCGCACATTTTTATTTCATTGAAACAGTAAGTTCAGCAGCTTTCTCTTTAAAAAAAATATTAAAGAAATAAATTTCAATGAAAGTCTATACATTTGATTCTACATAGTTTATCAATATATCATTTACAAAACATATAGATAGCAAAAAAAAAAAAAGAAAAGAAAAGAAAAGAAGAAGGAAAAAATATGTCACATTTTTAAAAATAGCATTCGTGGCAAAGACAAGAGTAGTTGAAAATCGTAGTACGATGAAAATCAAAACAAGTTTGAAGTTTAAAAACAGTAGTTTGGGGCTAAATGCAGTAAACGAATTACTAACCACAATAAGCAAGCAATCTTGAGCGCACAAATTAAAAATTATTATTATTTTGAACAAACTATTTTTTTGAATAATTCTTCCGAATGAAATTCCCCAGTGAGATTATATTCCATATTTTGGGCGAATGATATTCTGTCAAACGATATTTTGTCAGTTTTGGATATTATTCAGCCATAGTGTTTGGTTTTCCATGACCAAATGTTAAAAAAAAAAAAGAAACAATGTCAATTATAGCAGTATGATAATGAACTTTAGCACGATAAGTGTTTTTTTTAATTATTTATATATATAAATATATATGTATCATAAAAAGCTTTAACTATCTTTATACGTTATTCCTTTTCTGTAGATACTTTTCTTAATTTATTATTCAAAACGAAACACTTTCTCACTCTCTTAAATTCACATCCTGTCCTTTAATCTATTTTTGCTTCAAGTATGCGTAAATTAAAAGTAAGAAATTTTTTCCTTTGCTCTTTGTGGGAATCGTGCGACCTATTTAACAAACCAAATACAATTATTAAGATTTCCCTTATTCCCTAAAATGAAACATTTTTCGGATTTACTTTGCAAGATTTTCCCTAGCTTTTATTGAGGAGCGCAACGATTTCGTGTTCATTTTGATAACCATTCTCTGTCTAATATTTAATAAATAAATGTCATACGACCCTCTAGTCATGTCTGGTACGCATACATATTTACTTACACAGAAAAAACTTATCCCAATAGAGTAAATTTACTTTTACAGAAAACGCTTGTTTTGGAAAACTGACTTTGCACTTGCACAAAAGTTAGTTTAGCATTTATAAATCTTTTATAAGTTCACTAGTTTTCTTCTTCCTTGCTATTGTAGCCCAAATCCTACTGTTGTTAAAATTCATGACTTGACTCCATTCTGTGTTTAAATTTCAACAATTTGGAAATTCCTGTTCCTTAATACAAAAACAAGTATACATAAAACNTAGATCCTTTTCTTAATTTATTATTCAAAACGAAACACTTTCTCACTCTCTTAAATTCACATCCTGTCCTTAAATCTATTTTTGGTTTAAGTATGCGTAAATTAAAAGTAAGAAATTTTTTCCTTTGCTCTTTGTGGGAATCGTGCGACCTATTTAACAAACCAATTACAATTATTAAGATTTCCCTTATTCCCTAAAATGAAACATTTTTCGGATTTACTTTGCAAGATTTTCCCTAGCTTTTATTGAGGAGCACAACGATTTCGTGTTCATTTTGATAACCGTTCTCTGTCTAATATATAATAAATAAATTTTATACCCTCTAGCCATGTCTGGTACGCATACATATTTACTTACACAGAAAAAACTTATCCCAATAGGGTAAATTTACTTTTAACAGAAAACGCTTGTTTTGGAAAACTGACTTTGCACTTGCACAAAAGTCAGTTTAGCTTTTATAAGTTCACTAGTTTTTGTCTTCCTTGCTATTGTAACCCAAATCCTACTGTTGTTAAAATTCATGACTTGACTCCATTCTGTGTTTACATTTCAACAATTTGGAAATTCCTGTTCCTTAATACAAAAACAAGTATACATAAAACCGTGTGCACATCTTCAAATCGCGTTTCTGATCATTCAGAATGAGGCAATATTTTTCATTCAATGACAATCAAAATAAAAGATTAATAAGTATTCTCTCGAATTAAATTAAATAAATTAATTTAATTCGATTAATTAATTTATTTAATTTTTAATTAAATAAAATAATTTAATTAAAGGAATTCGATTAAAATAAACAGAAATTTCGATAAAATAATTTTTTTTTTTTTTTTTAGAGAAATTACGAACAACAACTGAATTGTTGAAAACTATTGGGCTTACTTATTATAAACTTTGGTTTGTTTGAAACATGATAGATGAAGTAAGAAAACAATCCTATTACTAATTTGAATGAATTTAATTTTTTAAAGTGAATTATAATGTTTGTCGTTCTTAATCTCAAAAATTGAAATTAAAGCTTTAAATCAAGTATGCTTGAGAAAACGAAATGGAATTTGATTGTTTTGTTTTTCTACATTTAAAACTTAAAATATCTGGAATTCGATTTTAAAAATCTAATAAAACATTTAAATTAAGCCTACAAAAATTCGACATGTGTCCAAATTAAAACTTATAAAAGAAGAAGTGAAATTAAAACTTATAAAAGAAATTAGTTTATTTTATAAGAATGTTTATTTAATAAATGAAAATGATTGATGCTAGTTGTGCGAAGAAAAAGATTGATTTGTTAAGAAGAATTATTAATAAATGCAAAATACGGAAAATATATGCAAATATGTATAATTGTTTTCTTTTGTAGCTTGTCATGTTCTCTTGTATGCTAGAGAATAAGACAGAAGATACAAAACACAGGGGGTGATATTTGTTGACCGCCGCTTAGAGTCTATAGATTCTCCTATAGATTAGATTTTATAGATTTCGCTCATTATGAGGAGAGTAATTAATTGTGTCTGCATATTCAAGATGTGCACAAGAAATAAAGAATTTATCAAAAGTATGAATTGATCCGTCTTGCAACAAATGTATACTTTACTTAAACGCATATTGCATGCTTTCTTAATATGCAATATGCACTTCATGTTGCAAAAAAAAAAAAAAAAAAAAAAAAAAAAAAAAAAAAAAAAAATTAAAAAGCAAATTTAAGAAATTTATTAAAAAAAATGTCGCAGAAGATACTATGTTCTTGATGAAGTTACCACAGTCTGGTGTGAGTCCCTGTAAGCTCAGCCTAAATAAAGCCTTGCAAAGTTTAAAAACAAAAATAGGCAAAATGAATTACAAAGTTTAGCTTCGATATTTCGATTGACTATATGGAGTTATACGAACCTATATGTATATGAGGCATTTTTGTTATTCTTCAGAATTTTTTTTTAATGAACTTGTTACGCTTTTACATAGGACAAATAGGGGAAAAAACATAAACAAAACAAGAACGGATATTTTATGCTTCTGCAACAATAAAACTCAAAAAAAAAAAAAAAATCCCCATTAGAAGAAGAAAAAAATTTTTTAAAAAATAAAGTAACAACAGAGTTGCCGTGATTTCCCCGTCTATTCAATCGTGAAATCCTTTAAAAAAATTTTATTTACCATGATTTCCTGGGTAACCAGAATTTACCAGGGTAAATTACGGTAATACCCGAAGATTAAAAATTAAATAGAAATATAAAAAGACTTCCAGATTACAGACATAACTCATAAGGACTCTAGTAAAAGTGCAGACAGTTCGTCGAAGTCAGATGAAGTAAAAGTTGTGCAATGTGTCTGCAAAAGCATTTGTGGTTATAAAATGCTTCATGGGGGTGCCACACACTCGAAAAGTGATTTATCGTCTTCGATGCAGTTCGATCCATATTTTAAAACAGTATTGATTGCTATATTATATAGTTCTTTTGACGAGTATTGCAAGTATCCAATGTATCGATCTTCGTTGGCCATAAAAAGTACTTTGATGGCTTTAGAAGTGTATATAATCACCGGTGGTGCAGGCGGATAATAAATAGTTCTTCCGGCTGGGTTTTCGAACGTTTTCTATCGAACGGCATATCGGGGTGGTTCCTCGTAGTCTTCAGGTATGCAGTCTGATGGAGGATTCTGATTGGACGATGTGCTGCCAGATAGTACGGATGGGTGATTACCAGCAAAAGTCTCCATTTTTTCATCTACAAAAAAGAAATATGTTCAAGACACAATTATTGATTTCACTCAACCTTTTCATCTGCACTCAATACAGTCTGCTGAGCAAGATATTCTCACAAAATACGGGAAAACAATTTTTTTCCTTCATTTATTTCTTTTGTTAAGAAAAGCATTTAATTTCTTTCGAATTTTTGCTCTAGCCTAATTTATTTCTATTTTTCTCTCTCTCTCTNTAGTATTTATATATATATATATATATAAAATCCTGCCACAAGGTATATATGAAACAAAACATATAGACAAACAAATTGAACAAAACTTTTGGTAAACTAGTTAAATATAACTTTCTAATTTCTATTTATTTATTTTTTTAACGTTTTTTACAATCAAATCTTTTTAAGCATTAAAACCATTTTTTCTTTTCGTAAATCGAGAGCATTTGTTTCATTTTTTATCGCTTGAAGCAAAATTTTGAAACGGTATTACATAAATATAACAAAAGTTTCTGTTTCTGAGAAATTTCCTATCGCTATAAATTCCGTTCTAATCTCATGACATCGTGATATCAGTTACATTTTTTTGACAAAAATCGCTCACTCATCATAATAGTCATTGATGACACAAAAAAACGTATTCTATTCATTTCCTCTCCTGCTATTCAAACTAGGTTTTCAAAATAAAATTCCAAATCGGCGCTGTATAAATTTTGAACATTAACAATTAGTGACTGAAATTAAACTTAGTAACGACACCCCGAGAACTAAACTTATTCCAAAGCTATCTTCATGTTTATCGGTCAAATGTTTTTGCAAAAATCGCCCACTCTTCATAATAGTCATTGATGACACGAAAAAAAAATGCATTCTATTCGTTTCCTCTCCTGTTTTTCAAACTAGGTTTTCAAAATATCATTCCAAAACGGCGCTGTATAAATTTCAAACATTAACAATTAGTGACAGAAATTAAACTTAGTAACGACACCACGAGAACTAAACTTATTCCAAAGATATCATAAAACCTCTTCTAAACAATTTCGAATATATTTCCTTCTCTTTTTTGCCTTGTAGTCTCTAAACCAGGAAGGAAGTTCACAACAAATGAGGAAAAAATTCCAATGTATACCATTGTTAATGGACGTGTTGTTTTTAATCAGATTGATAGTACTTAAAATTGTGCTATGAAGAGACGTAGTATAAGTCATCATCCTGAACAAATTGGCAAACTGAGAGGGATTTTGTTCAAAATATTAGGCATACCATTTGTTTTCAAGGTGCTAAACTAAGATTCGTTTATTCGTGTTTTTTTTATTTTTATTGATTGGTTTATTTTTTTAACTGAATACCGTTATTGAACTATTAACACTGAACATACCATAACCGATCAAATGACCGTTTAAGAACTTTTGCATTGAAAATGCGCTTATCATCTTACCGTTTTTTGTGCATTTGACTTCATGACTTTTTCTAACAATTATATACAGTTAATATTCGATTATTATTTTTTCGTATTTTGTTCGTTTCGAATAATACTTGTCGTATACCTATTTCTACCACAACCGGTCATTTGACCGGGAGAACAATTTATTGCTTTATATGGTTATCGGATCAGAAATGACGATGCAATGCGTGTTCAACGTATTGCATTCGATGAGTTGCACATTTCTGCAGAGACTGTTGCTTAGTTCTTTTCTTGCTTAGCTTCAATCAGAATAACTGCGAATTCAAATTTCAAGAAAGTACCTAAAATTTTAGATTTGCATTTTTTTTATAAGACAAAGTGACAAAAAGTAAATGTTTCGGTAAAGAGTTTATATTTTATTTTGACAGCTTTACTTCATTTCTAACTAACTGTTAGTTTTTTACCAGAAAAATGTCGAAACAATCGAGGCAGCACAAGTTTTTAGAGGAAATAATATTAATTATAAAAATAATTATGAGAATAATAGAAATAATAATAATTAAAAGAAATAAGTTTGCGGAAAATGTACAATGGAAACACTCTGTAAATGTAGAAAACACGTTGAGCAATGAATTAAAAATTCTTATTCTTTGTGTTTATAATTCATAAAAATCGGCAATATACAATTTTGTTTAATTATAATGACGTGTTTTTAGTTTATTTCCTTCCTAACATCCATGTTTCATACATTCAATGAAGAAACATCAAGTCCGGGTATTTGACCGGCTATGGTAGAAATAGATATAGATTAAGTGTTGGTATGTTTAGTGTTTAAGACGGTTGCTTAATAGTAAGCAACTTTATAACAGATGTTATGATTATTTGCATTTTATTAACTGAATCATGAAAGTACTTACACTTATGAATATATATTACTACTTATTTACGCAAAGAGTAATAAACTCAGACGATACCTCTAATTTGTCCATCCGTGATGGTGTCTTGGGAGGGACAGAGGTTTAGGTAGGCACCACCGCCGTGTGGTTCAATGTATGAGGCTGATGAAGGCACTGCCTGGTGTCCGGACACCATTTTCATGTTGGGCGGGGTTTGTGGCGGAGTGTCTGTCTGGAGAGTGATAGGATTGAATCCATGGAGATTGCAGCTACCGAACCTCTGGAAAGGAATGGCGGCACAACTTTGGTATGGAGTTTTTGTTGGCGACCATCCGTTAGATGAGAGATCATTCGCGTAAGGCATCTCTAGAACTTTGTTTGTAGCTGTGTCTGCCAGAGACCAGATCTTCGGTTTGTAGAGATGATCGCCTAAGAGAAAACGAGACGGATTAATGGAGTCCCATGCACCATAATAGAACGGCAGGTAGGCAGGTAATTCACTAGAGCTGCTCAGTGGGCTATTGGCGATGGTCTGGGAAACATCCCTGAGGATGATCCGAAGACATGTCATCACAATTTTGATCCTCTGCAGAGCTTCGTGCTGGAATACTAACATTGTGCACTACTTTTTCAATTAATATCGAATCGAAATATCGCAAGCACGATTGACTAATATCGAATCGAAATATCGCAATACACCCACAGACCTTATGCTCGCATAACAAGTACTTCAATTTGGGGAATACCAATTTTAAAATACGCTTTAACTATTTAACAATTTCATTTAATCTAATTTTATAAACCGTCGTTGAACAGCCGATCCAATTTTTTGGGTTTACGACTACTAATGTTCAACTCCTTAGCCTTGTAATTTTGAACCCAATCCGGAAGACAAGAAAACTCCTGGATCTAGTATTGGGACAAACTAGCCTCCGTGGAAGACTTTTTGGTGGAAGTAACCCGCGTTTGCGTTACATGGAGAGAGCCACGATACCATGAAAACCTCCCACGGTTAGCCTGAGGGAAATTGCTTAAGGGATATTCTAGATCTCGGAACTTATTGGAAATATTGTAGATGGAACAGACTTCATTATACAAATGTGGTACATTGCATATCTTAGCCCTAGATTTAAGTCTTAGCCCTAGAGTGAAGAGAAGCTATCCTCTCTGAAATGCGCTGTTTCTATAGCAGCAGACAACCTCAGGCTTTGTGGCGGGGGGAGTTGTTGCCGTAGACAAACTATAGACGATTTGCGGAAGGTTGGTATTACCTGAGAAGCATGAAGAGACTGTTGTGGAATCCTTGGATGACCTGTGGTGAGAGGCCATGTATGTCTCCATGGGACCAATGTCCGGTGAGGAGCTCTGAGAGGACGGAGTGAAGCCACTGGACGAAGCCTCCAGTGTGGCATGTAGCGCATCAACAGAAGCATCTTCGTAGTGGTGACGGTCGCTGATCGAAGATCGGTACGTTTCATCGGGTCCTCCTATTTCTGCAAAATAAGCAATAAGATCCGATATTTCATTCATAAATACAACCCTCCCAGCCATTTCTACTGAAATTCATCTGATCAAAAATTAAGCATGTCCCAGAGATCGATTTAGAGGGTGGGGGAAGCATGCCAAGTAGCTACCCAATATTTATTTTTAAATGAGGCATATTTGGATAAATGTTAGACATTTTGACAATGGATTTTATTAAAATCTTTTAAAGTCACCAGGAGGATTAGCAGATTTTTTACTAGCTTTATCTAGTTTTAACCATCATGTCAAAAATATTTTTTGACATAGTTTTTGAGAATTGTCAAAGAAATTTTGGTGTAAGGATAATTATCAGCAGCTGTAAATATGAAGTATTTATGAATAAACATTCATATAAAATTACAAAGAATCAATCAATTGTTTTTATTAATTATAATAGTAATTAATTATTATTTTGACATTAAACTCTTTTTCTGTTTTGGAAATGCAATTTATCTAATCCGTTAATTTATTTAATTATTGAAAAAATACTAATTAATCATCTTATTCATAATGTGTAAAATTAATTTTCATTTACTTTCATTTTAGCACCTTCTTTTTCCGAAGCAAGCGATTATAAAAAATAAAATAGTTTTGAAACCTTCTCTACTCCAAGTTCATTTTTCAGTTTTGTATGAATATGACCGAAATTCGAATATTCTTTCATTTGATGCTGAGCTGCATGGACTAGAATGAAAACGTATAAAAACTATTATATAAAATAAATAACTATATAGACGTATTAACAGTACAATAAAATGACATGTAATTAGGAAATTTATTTTATAAAAATGTACTAAATATTAGTAGTAACTTAATTAAACTCTTGAATGGATTGATTGACTCATTTAAATAAGCATTTATATTTGTTGTAAATTATAGTTAGCTTACTTATCAGGGCATTTAAATAGTCATAATTTATTGAAAATATTCAAGTACATATGAAAATTCTTAGGTCCTAATATTCCGTCAAGACAAATTTGTTTTAGATCAAAATTTCACAAAAATTGTAGCGCTTTTTTTTTCTTTTAAATTTAAGGTCCTACTTAAACTTAGAGAATTCAAATTAATCAATAAACAAATTGTCATAAAAAAAATTTAGCGGGAAAAAATATTACAAAGCAACACATTTTTGAGCATTAAAAAAATTTTGTTGGAAATTTTTTTAAACCGAAAATTTTCTCTGATACCAATAATTCTTCCGCAATAATTTCAGGGACACCAATAATTCTTCCGTTAACCATTTTAAGGGTTTTTGACATTTCGAAAAAAATAAGCACTTTCAGGGATTCTGACGGTTTACTTAATCTAAAAAATATCTGCATTGTGGCATAAAAAAAAATTAAAATCAATATTTAGATTGGCAATAATTTGCAATTCATAGTTACTACTTATAATATAAACTTAATAGTTATTACACAGCAAATCATATTGATCTTAAAGTATTAAGAGTAACATGTTTTTAAAAAAACTAATTAATAGTTTCAATAATTTCGGCTACATCTTTATATATAATTATTGCATTCATTAATGCAGCCTATATTGTGCATGATTTAACATCTAATAAAATATCTCCAATGACAAAAAAAAATTCCCCAGGTTTTTATCAGATTTTGACAATTTATGATATTTTTCGACAGGTTTTTGACGCGTCATTCCAAAAACCCGACCCTGGGATCTTTTATTCATAAAAATCCCACCAGAAAGCCTTTCGGGAAACCAAACCCATTGCAGACTCTCAGATAAATTTTAACAATGTGGATATTTAATTCGAATTGTATTATGTCGGTTCTTTTTTTAGGGGGGTGGGAGTGGGGGTGGAGAGGGAGAGAGAGAGGCCATGTTCTCGTTTGCATACTAAATGACGAATCCAATTGTGTGCTCAAACCTTATTCGTCCGAACTCGCGTGATTGTGACGGAAATTCTGTAATTGGCCTCTCCGCATCGGCAAACATAAAGATAATTATTCTGTTTGGAAGAGGAGCCCTCTTTGGCCATCATTATTATTGTCCATTATGGCCATTATTAGTGGAGTGTGACAGCAAGGCACAACTCCCATTGGTGGACATCGGTCATGCATGACCGGGACCGGTCACGCGAGATGCGGATGTCTATTAAGGACTGGAAAGGAAAGAAAAATGTTAATGCCGGTTGAGCTATTACATTGTAAAAATGAATGACATTATCATATTTTGCACGCGAACCTCTTTTTATTTGTCCTCTCACGACACAGAGGATATTTGTTGGTCCCTTTTTATATAAAACGGACCACTTCTCTTGTCCAATGAAATTTCAACATCCTCTTTTTCAAGTCACGAATGCCATTAAAATAGTCTTCGAACGCACACGGATTATCCACCAATCGATGGCTTCAGAATTTTTTTCTTTTCTTTTTAAGGTATTCTAAAGTTTCTGAAGTCAACACTGTTAGATTTTCTTTTTCAGTACAGTTCAATTCCCCATTTGACTGATTCCATTGGCTCGACAGATAAAATGTTTTTATTTTATAAACGTTGTTGAATTTAGGGTTTGCGACTATTACTCCATGGCCTTATCGTTTTGAGCCCAATCGAAAAGAAAAGATCGAAATCCTGGATCAAGTGTTGGGAAAAAGTAGCCTTTCAAGAACTTTCTCCCGCACTTTTAACGGAGTAGATACATGCTTCTTGAATAAATAAATCTGCTAGTCTTAACAAAACGCAACACAACAAATCACTTTGCGATGCGGATCCAATGTAGCCAAACAAAAGTACCTATTTAAAAGCAACCATCAGAAAGGTCTTTTTATGCCATATGGTTGACACTATCCAAATGTTCAGTGATTTTAATTGCGTTTTTTGAAGCATCAAGACCAGTTTAAGCGCCTTAACACTTCAGGCAAAGCTATGATTTTAAACTATCTTAACCTTCGTGATATAAAATATTATTTAGGCTTTAGAACAAAAACATATTTTAAAAGTTATTAAACTTTGTGACAGACAATTTGATGAGATTTTTTCACCTAGATGGAAATAATCAAAGTCACTGAATAATTCTATATTTTTACGTAGCTCAGATCGCTTTTTAACTATTTCGATTCAACTTTTGCAGCATTAAAATTTAAATATGAAAAGCAGTTTGTGTTAATGGTGATATATTAAAATAAGTATACTATGAGTTTAAAGTTATCCACTTTTCTCGTTTTCCCAAAAAATCACCTGGGACAATATTTCCCGATCGCCTTGAATATTGTAAAAATACATACATATATATTGCATGGGAGTAAATAATACAAATAGTATAAATGCATCGAATTATTTGTTTCTGCAAAATTGGGATCTGCTTATCCATTAGGGAATAAAGTTTAATCTTTGGACATATATGTCCCATTCGGGTCGAAAGGGTTAAATATAAACAAATTAAATCACAAAACCATTTTTAAAAAACTGTATACATTTTGCATCATTTTCAGAATTAGCATGGAGTGCTATGGTTAAAGATAGGCTTAACTTGACATCAAGAATCTCAAAACACAAGAAGAACTTTATTCCGACAGAGCAACCGCTACAATTCTGAAAAAAATTATTTGAAGGATTCCTCATCGTGCATATAAACTTAAATTACGTCTGCATTACTTAACGTTACGTCTGCTTAAGTTAAAATTTGCAAATAAACTAAAATTACGTCTGCATTACGTTACGTTAAAATTGACAAATAAACTTAAATTACGTCTGCATTGCATTACATTACGTCTGCTTACGTTAAAATTTGCAAATAAATTTAAATTACGCAAGAAATATTTTTAACGTTATGAAACGAGCACAACTTTTTCGTTTCTTACGACATAGTAAGACCACTATATTTTCTACTATCAAAATGTGCTATGCGAAGCTCATAAGTTTCTAATCAAATAGATAAACTACCAGGGTAGAGTCCCTTACTAGTTATTTAGTGAAGTAAAGCAGTTTAAGTACTCGAACTAGATTACTAATGATTGCCTGAAATTGAAAAATATCTATAGTCTTATAAATGAAAATAGAATACAATATTAAAAACTTTTTAAACTTGCGCATTTAAATTTAAAAAAAGAAAAACTATTTCATTTGTGGCAAACAGCTTAGTTAAAAATAAAATTTAGTAATAACAATTTAGTTAAGAATAAAATTTAGAAATAACAATTTAGTTAAAAATAAAATTTAGTAATAACAATTTAGTTAAAAATAAAATTTTAAAAAAAATTATGACGAAGAATTCAAGTTTTTAAATAGCTTTATATGCAGAAACAAAAAATTGGAATCATTCGAAGTTCATTAAAAAAAATGATAGCGAAACATACTTTAAAAAGTTCGATTGAGAAAAGGAAGATTTTCGTCTCGAATTTCCGCGTAGGAAACAAATGGAACTACGAACAAATGAAACAGAAAAGCTATTTAATTGTTGGGACTCAATTATTCTAGGATTATTTTTTCTAAAGAGGATTAAACGAAAGCATTGCAGACATATTTTCAACTTTCAAAATCATATAAATAATAATTCCTTTTGTTAATCCATTTATTTATTATCAAACTTAATTTCTTCAATGATTAAAAAATGACGTTCTTGCATTTAATTTTAGGATATAGTGTTATTCATGACGTGATTTTTAACTAACATGCAACATTGTCTTTTTTTTAATGAAGATGCATAGCTTTGCCTTCATTACGAAAGACTATCATTTCTTACTACTAATACGTTGCTCAATATGCAAGAAATGCCAGATTTTTGAATATTAATTAGCGCTACTGTAATAGGGAAAATAAAGATTAAAAATCATCAAAAATCAATTTTATTATTCTAGTAGAACTGTTCTCGTAACGTTAGGAAGCGTTTTTCGGCGTTCGTCTAATTAAATGGTTTTAGATTATTTTAATCCTTCCTTTGCCCTTTCTCCATCAGAAATTGAAACGGTCATTATCACTAATCAAAGTTTAAAAAAGTTTTTTTTTGTTACTTTATTTGCAATTTTATTCCTGTCATTTGAGGCGATAAATATTAACATTGTTTTTGCATTTTAATTATATTTTCCACATTACTGTCATTTATGTTTTAATTCATTGCATCTGCTTTAAATCTACAGTCAAATAATTTGCATCGGACATAATCGGGCAAAAGTGATAACAAAAAGTGACTTTTTCAAATACTAATTATTTTTTATTAGTGCGGACTAACTCTAACCTGTGTTGCTTGCCTTAGCTGTGTGCCGTCAATAGCTTAAAAACCTTTTTTATTCACTTAATTTGCAATTTTAATCCTTTCATTTCAGGCGATAAATATTCACATTGTTTTTGTATTTTAATTAAATCTTCCGCATTATTGACATTTATGTCTTAATTCATTGCATCTGCTTTAAATCTACAGTCAAATAATTGCTTATAGGGCATAATATAAGACAAAAGCTATAACAAAAAGTTAAATATTTCAAATAGTAATTATTTTTTATTAGTGCGGACTAACTCTAATGCTGCCAATGGGTCAAAAGCTTAAAAACGTTTTTTCTCGCTTAATGAGCAATTTTCTTCCTTTCATTTCAGGCAATATATATTCACATTGTTTTCGTATTCTAATTAAATCTTCCGCATTACTGTCATTTATGTCTTAACTCATTGCATCTGCTTTAAATCTACAGTCAAATAATTTGTATCGGACATAATATAAGACAAAAGTGATAACAAAAATATTTCAAATAGTAATTATTTTTGATTAGTGCGGACTAACTCTAACCTGTGTTGCTGCCAATGGGTCAAAAGCTTAAAAACGTTTTTTCTCGCTTAATGAGCAATTTTATTCCTTCCATTTNTATTTTTTTCTATATACTTATCTACATCATTATAGAAAATAGTTTTTTGATAAAATGGCTATTAGGGCCCCTAAGTAGTTTCAGCCCTGGGCCCCACAAATTCACCATCCGCTAATGCGCATTACTGTCATTTATGTCTTAATTCACTGTATCTGCGTTAAATCTACAGTCTAATACTTGATATCGGACATAATATAAGACAAAAGTGATAAGTTAACTATTTCAAATGGTAATTATTTTTTCTTAGCTCAGACTAACCTGTGTTGTTGCCGATGCGGGGAGGTTTTTCGTCTTCATCATCCTCATCTTTTTGCTCCTTCTTAGGATCCTCGGATTCCGCTTTGTTCCTCGGTTCCCACGTCATTTTGTTCTCTTTCTTTAAGCGACGCCGCGCATTGGCAAACCATGTTGACACCTTCAGTAAAAAAAAAGAAAAGACAATACAGTTGTTTAATTATTTAAAGTTGTTTTAATGTCTTTTTAGAAATAATATAAATTCTCCTACAGCTTGTAAAAAATCATGTATCCTAGTGTAGTAAATTTTATCAAACTGTTCCAACTTCCACAAATATTTTTCTAAAGATACACTATCTGGCCAAAAGAATCCGGTCACCCAGTGGTGTGAACTTAGAACGTCTTGAGGCACATATTAATACCCAGAGAGCATGCAACCTTACGGCAACCTTGTATTATCACGAAAATGTTTGCACAAAAAACCTTTTTTCAATAAAACAAAAATATTGCAGTTTCAAACCTTTCATCCTAAAAGGATTAAAAAGTATTTTTTAAAGCTTTTTTTAAAAAAAGTATTGTTGCTTAAGGTCTTTAATGAAGTTTTAGATGACGTCACACCAGCGATAGGATCAAACTGCATTGTACATTGAAATTTCATGACAAGGTGGATTCCAGCTGATCATACAAGACGTTGCGAAAAGAAACGTTTTAATTACCTAGATTTAAGATTATTTTCATCTTGAGACTAGCTTTATTAAAAGATTTTTTGACGCTCGAAAACCCTAAGTAAACTTCGATTTAAGTTTTTTATATAAAAGGTTGTTTTCCAGGGTTTTGAATTAGGGTAATGTGAGTAGAATAGAGCAGAAGATCACAGATCTCGTTTTAAGGTTAGAAGGTTTACACACATAAACCGTATTACAAACCTTTTTAGGTTTACATTAAAAGGTATTTGCTGAGTGGAAATAAACCTTATTTTGCTTATCTGGGTATGATGTTGATCTCCCTTTTACATCGGTTTTCAGCCTGCATATGTCTAGGAACATTTTCCACCAGCTTTTGATAGGAATTGACTTCCATCACTGCTGAAGTGAGTGCTTGCAGTGAGGTGGGTCGATTTGGTTGGCTAAGTAATCTGTGCTCTAATTCGTTTTATGCGATTTACATCAGGGCTCTGAGAAGGCCAGTCCATTTTTTAAACACTCATTTCATCAAACCACGTCTGTGCAAGCTTCGATGTGTGAATGGAACAGTTATCCTGCTGGAAGAGAAATGGGGATTCCCCGAAATATTGCCATAGAGTTGGGAGTGCAGCATTGTCCACATACATCTCAGAGTTCATGTTTCCAAGTACAGGAACTAACGGACACAGGTCAAACCACGAGAAGCACCCCCACACCATTATGGTTCCACCACCATATCAACCCGGATGTCCGGATACATTTGGCCAGAGAGTGTATAAGTCATTTGGAGCAGGACTTCAAGAGAATTTTTTTGAAATTCCTCCAGCACCAATTAGGAACTACATGAAATCATCGATTACTTAAATATGAAAACAGTGGAAAAGGAAATTTAAGAACTATAACTTGTATAACTATATTGGCTTGAAGAGGATCGTTGTTAGATTGAGAGGTTTCCATTCAAAGTAAGGATGTGTCAGCATTTAAATACAAGCGGCGTTCAGACCTGTGTGAGTGTCATCTTGGTGATGATGGCCAGCATAATCTTCTCTCCCTTGGTTGGGTAAGGGTTCTTCCTGTGTTCGTTTAGCCAGGCTTTGAGGGTACTCGTGGAATCCCGCGTTACGTTCTTCCTTCTCGCTCCGTTGAAGTCTAAACCTCCATACCTGCAACACAAGGTATTAAGAACTCATCACAATAACAAAAAAAAAGAAAGAAAGAAAAAGAGTGAAAAAGAGAGAAAGCTCACCCGTAAGCCGCCAAGGTGGGATCGTAGTAGTAGGACTGTGATATACTCCTCCATGGATCAGAACCTTCCTTCATTCCATAAGTAGAGTTCTGCAAACAAACATTCAATACATGTGTTTTATACACTGTTGTATGAATGCCCCTACAATCCTCTTCATTAATAAAATGAAATACAAGGAAAATAAAATAGGTTTTCATAGCAAACTTTTCTAAATACAGTCAAACCCCGCTATAGGGAACTCCCGGATATAGTGAACGAAATGTTCGCTTCCGTCTCTTGCTACACACGCATAATGTATTTTTTGTGGACATAGTGAACCAAAAAAAAAGAGAGGAAGTTGGATATTAAGAACTTTTTTGACTGATTTATTTTCTTCATTTTTTAATAATATTTTTGAAATTTCTGCTTCAAAATAAGTACATATACCGATTTTTAAAACCATCTATAGCATGGAATGTAGCAATACGTAATTTTCTTGTTTGTATCATTATTGAATTGGTTCAGCATTCAAAGAAGCCGCCATCTTCCAGTATCTGGATAAATGCTTTAAGTCAAAACCGAGGAATTTGCTTAGCGATTTGGTGAGATTACTTTTATGTGCTCGAATGGCTGGTTAGACAGGTTTAAAAAGTGGAATAGCATTAATTCAGGAAAAATTATCGGAGATTCGGGAAGTATTTCGATAACTGATGTTGAGGATTACTCATCAGCTAAAGATTACTATTTTTTTTTTTTTTTTTTTGTACGTAAGACTAAGAATAATAAAAAATAAAAGTTAACGCATTACTATGTATTTTCTTCCTGTCATTTTTGTATTTCATTTTATTGGTCATTTATTTAAATAATGTGTAATAAAAGGGGGGTGGAATCATTAGTTAAAATTGCTTGTGGAACGGATGTAGTGAAGTTCCCGTTATAGTGAGCCAAAATTTCGATTCCTTGAAGGTTCATTATAGCGGGGTTAGACTGTAGTTCATTAAAAAATGTTATTTTGAACGCCTAGTTAAGGAACTCCCAATAATCTTTGCGTGTAGGAAATACTGCAGTAGATAAAAATTCTTAAAATCAATTAGTATATCAATTTTTCATAACACATTTTGTTCCATATAATAGTTGAATCACCCCTCCTTTTTTTTTTTGTCTCGCGTTTTCTTATCTTAGATTCTTTTATGTCATTAGAAATGTTAAATTCCTTTTTTACATAGAATGAAATGTTGTTTAATATAGAAGATGTGTTTTAACACCCGAAAACAAATTTTTTATCTAGCCATTTTTTCGCTCTCTCTTTATTTTTGAAAGCCAAAAGTAAATAACGGAGAAATCAAATTTTTAATTAAAAAAAAAATTCTACAGTGTTTGTATTCGAAGTGTGCTTCGAAGTTAAAATTGAAGATCTAATTTGAATGAAAACGACATTTTATTAAACTATCAGCGAAGTTTTCACCATTTCTAACTAAACATCGATTCTAACATCTCCATCCATTCAGGTGGTTTTTCATGTAAGGAGATCAGAAATAATACAGGAAATAAAATTAGTCTGTGACATCATTCTGAACTTTTTTGCTTTCTTATCCCGCAATGGTAAATCAACTTTTCCAGGAGAAAACTGTATTTTACGATTTCCCGTAATGGTTTACTACAAACTATTGGTCTACACAAACTCTGTCTAAATCATTCAACTTCAAAACTATTCAAAAAATATCGTCTGCTCGTGTAAACGATCTAGTTGTGCTGTTTTTTATTATTGCTTATTTTAGTTCAACGTTATAGGAGGTCTGTGATATTATTCTAAACTTTTTTGCTTTCTTATCCCGTAATGGGTAGTCCACTGTATTTTAACTATATTTTACGATATCCCGTAATGGCTTACTACAAACTGTTGATCTGCACAAACTCGGTCTAAGTCATTCAACTCCAAAACTGTTCCAAAAATATCGTCTGCTTGTGAAATCGATCTAGTTGTGCTAATTTTTATTATTGCTTAATTTAGTCAAACGTTATAGGAGGTCTGTGATATTATTTTAAACTTTTTTGCTTTCTTATTCCGTAATGGTTAGTCCACTTTTCTTAGCGAAAACTATATTTTACGATATCACATAATGGCTTCTTACTACGAACTATTGGTCTGCGCAAACTCGATCTAAATCATTCAACTCCAAAACTGTTCCAAAAATATCGTCTGCTTGTGTAATCGATCTAGTTGTGCTGCTTTTTATTATTGCTTATTTTAGTTCAATGTTTATAGGAGGTCTGTGATATTATTTTAAACTTTTTTGCTTTCTTATCCCGTAATGGTTTGTCCACTTTTCTTAGCAAAAACTATATTTTACGATATCCCGTAATAGCTTCTCACCACAAACTATTGATCTGCACAAACTCGATCTAAATCATTCAACTCCAAAATTGTTCCAAAAATATCGTCTGCTTGTGTAATCGATCTAGTTGTGCTGTATTTTTATCATTGCTTATATTATCCTGTTATTTTATGAGTCTTACAGGGCAGTAAAAAAAAAAAGAAAGAAAAATTATGAAATCTATGAACAAGCAATGAGCTGCTCCACGTGGAAAGAAGCACATTTTGTGCCCGCGGTTAGAAATGAGATTGTTGAAGATGATTTAAATAAGATTGTGTATTTGACATCTACATTTTCATGAGTGAAACACTCCCTTCCGCCCAGCTAACAATTATATAAAGAGAACCAACCCTACTTCATACATTACCCACCTCTGGTAATTGCTGATGTTGTTGTCTTAACAAGCAATGAGAATAAAACGATTCATCGAGGAATATCGATTACTACCCGACTCTCCTTACCTATTTTATTCTAACAGAAATAATCGAGGGGGAAATATTTGATTTACATTATACATGACGTATTTCGTTTTAATTTATAATCGGTGGAAAGTGAAGGCCAAATAGAAACCAGAAATGTAATTTTTTAAAAGGTATAGATTTATTTTTCATTTATCATATTTTATGTTCAAATATTTTATTTTATAGCCGTCGTTGAGCAGCCGACCTAATTTTTTGGCTTTTGCTTCGATTTAACGGAGCGAATTGCTTCGATTTAACGGGCGGATTTGATTCCCTCAATCAATTCGTTAAATCGGGGTCCAACTGTAACCGAATTTCAAGAAAATAAAGATGAAATGACATCATATCTTATCAGTTTTGAGCAGATAACACAAATTCCAAAGGAAGATTAGGTGGCTTATCTATCAAGCCTAGTACCACCAGATATTTCAAATATGTTGGCGAGAGAATCACCTAAAGATGCCAATAATCACGATTTCGTAAAAGAACTGAATCTGAAACGATATGACCTTAATGCCGAAAAACTTAAAATTTTTTTACCGGCATTTAAAGTCCCCTAATAAGTCTTGGCAAAATTTTGCTCAAGGATTAAATTGTTGTTTTAATGAATGAATTTCTGATCCAAAAATTACTAATTTTGAGGATCTTAAGAATTCGATGTTAACTGAGCAAGTTGGGCGTCATGTACTAAATGATATAAGAGACCTTTTTCTCGAGGAATGGATGGAATTAAATGCTTATTTTGTATAATAGCCGAGAAATTAGATTAAGTTTAAAAAACAATTTTAAGAGAAGTCTTTGTTGCATAGAAATCCAAACAGTCAAAATGATTTTTGGCGAACTGTTGCTAAAGCTGAACAAAAGTCAGTAGGGCAGAAAGATATTGTATTTAAAGAGATCACGAGAAGGAATTTGAAAGAATTTCTACGAATGCGGATCTGATAATCACTTCCGGTTTCTATGTTCCTATTTAAAGAAAAATTCAGAAATTGTTTTATCTTTACGCGTTTCGGAACCTTTACTTAGAGATGCTATGGTTCTATATTCGAGAAACTCCCACGGTTAGCCTGACGGCGAAGGGATTGGGATACCGATATTACGAGACACCAGTGCCACCTTGGATTTAGTTTCTAGGAAATGGGTGAAACAAGAAATGTACACAGGAGAATTCGTTTAGATAAAAACTCCTATACAGAATGAATCACTTTGTTTTCCCTTAGCTGAAGTTGAATTAAACTGTAATTTTTGGGAAAGTGGGCAACCGTATTAGAAAATTCTCCACATCAAAGATATTATTTATTGGAAAACAAAACAGTGGCAGTACTGTTAAAATGTGTCAATTGCCAAAATTTTTGCGAAGAACCAATTCGAATAGAAAAGAAAACTTAGCAAATCCAGTTGAAAAGAAAACTTTTCGGAAGTTGAAAAAAAATGGAAATTAATTAAAAACATTGCTGGATGTTTTTGTAAAAGAAAAGATGAAAATTCGTCAAAACCTACACAGCTGAAAAATCTAGAAAAAAGGCTCCAACTGAGAAACGATTGCTGAACATATTGATGAAGTTCTAGTTAGAAAAAACTTCATGAGTTTAGCTATTGGCCTTCATGGTGGAAATATTCTAAAAGCGAAATGTATAGAAGGAATTTTAGCTGCAAATGTTAAAAAGTGTAGTTTTTTAAAGTACATGGAAGGATCAAAAGTGCAGTCGAAAAAGCGAGTACTTTGCTTAAGTTTACTGAAGAATCAGTGCACGTTCTTCGCCGGCTTGTAGGAAGAATTAATGCAAAAAATTGAAACAACTGTAAAAGATATGATGAGAGAATCTGGTGTATGCATTAGAACGGATAAAAAAAAGTTTTAAGAAACCCAGCACATCACGTTGCATTTGTAATTGTTGGAGCAAAAGAAAACATAAAAGGTTCCAGTATGTTAATGGACAATAATTAAACCACTTAAAAGAGGTTAAAACGTTTCGAAAAAGGCCCTTGTAAAGGGTAGTCAACTCAGAAACAAATGTTAAAAGTTTTGGAGATCGCCGCCATAATTCCTAAGTAGAAATTTCGGTACTTTTCCGTTAGCCGGGGGCAAGCGAAAGATCGCCAAATAATGTAGAACTCCTCCAAATTTCTTACAACCATAAGGGGAATGCAAGTTTGGGGCGACGTGCTCTATTCTCTGAATTCATTCAAAACAAAGCAAGTTTTCCTTGTTGTTGTTGTTTCTAATGTCACTTGCCACACGGGCAAGCCTGCTTGGTGAAACCGAGCAAATTTAAGGCAGAATGTACGTTTCTTGTTTTTCAGTTGCGCTATCTATGGCCAAGAATTCGACTTCTGCCACACCATACGTCGCACCCGTTTATAGGGCGAACATCCATTCATTCGTCCACAGATCGTAATTTTGACCTGAATCAGAGAACTATCGATCTCCAATCCAGTATCCCCAGAGGTTTTGATTTGTTATGGGAACATGGAGGACTTTTGCGACTCAACAGATTTAACATGCATCAATCACTACACGGGGAGTCTTCGGTCGGTGGGGTTCGAACTCACGAACTTTCGGACATGGGCCCAGCGCTCTACCGATCAGGCTATCCCGGCCCAAGCAAGTTTTCCTTTCTTTCTTCCATCTTGATTTTTGTTCTAAGAATGATGAAAATTTGGGAGTTAGCCAACAATATTTGCTTATAGTTGAACTTCTTTTGTTTATTATTAATAAATATTAGTTTATAGTTGAACGTTTCCGATTTTTATTCCGTTGACTGTTTTGTCATTTGCTTCGCTTGGCGACTTGGCTGACGGAAAAGTACCATGAAATTTCTCTGTCGACGACAGGAATACTATTAGACGAGTAATAATAGTCAAAAAGAAAGTTAGAGATCCATGTCAGGCAAGCGGTAATCAGTTCAAATGTAACTAAAGAAGTCCTACCAGTTAATTTAGATCCAAAAACTACAGAAAGTTCTTTTGGATCAGTCAGACGTATAAAAAATGACTAATACTTCGAGTAGACTTTTTGAAACACATCAATATTTATAGGTATAGATTCTTAAGTTTATTTTTTCACTCTAAAAAAAAAAACTTTTCATAAATATATATTTTTATGTAACCGCCGTTGAACAGCCGACCCAATTTTGGGTTTACGATTACTAATGCTCAACTTCTAACCCTTGTAATTTTGAACCCAATTCAGAAGACAAGGGAACTCCTGGATCAAATATCGGAAAGAATTTTCCTTCGTGGAGGACTTTTTGAGGAAACTAAACAGCTTTTGAGTTAATTGGAGAAGAAAACCACCCACGGTTAGCCTGACGGAAAGGGGACTTTAACCTATGATCAGTCTACGTCATATATATTTTACGAATATTTTACGTCATCACTGTGGTTGGTGCAAGCCGTATGCGGAATTCGTATCGACCAGTCGTTGCTGGGATTCGAGCCCAGTTCACCTCATTGGAAGGCGAACGCCTTTAACCATCACGGCTCTTTTCCTTAATATTATGAAAAAAGTATAATGAGGTCTACTTAGATTTTTAACAATTAAAATTTTACGCTTGTTTATTAAAAATGTTTCAAAGTTCTTTTTCGCAAATTGCTTCTAGTTTTTTTTAAAAAAAGGGGGGGGGGGAAGAATTAGCCTCTATCGTAACGAGCATATTTTAACAAAACAGAGCTCAGAGGAGATTTTCTGAAAAAATATTTCCAGCTATAGTTAATCTTGATTAAGTTAAGCACTATCCATGATGTTTTTTCTTTTCTTTAAGTGATAGTTAATTTGAATTTTTTCCTACAAGAATTTGTGTATTAAGTTTTGAAATAAATATTTAGAGCTCACGTCGGATTTTTTGTTAATTGTGACACTACGCTTCCAACAAAAATAACCAAGAACCAGAATTATAAAAATTAAGAGGTTGTTTCGATTTTAAACTTTAAAATACAAGACAATGCTATGACTTTCTTTTTCCATTTTGCTTGATATGAACGGGATAAAAAAGCTTATTTTGGACGTATGTAGTCACCAGGGAAAATATATTGGGTTGTCTGAGCGTACGCGCGAACAACCATTTTAAAATATAATAACAAACAAAAGTACAAACGAGCAACAACAAAAAAAAAAAAAANAAAAATAAAAAAAAAAAAAAAAAAAAATTGACATAAATACGAACGAAAATTTAAAAAAATTTTCAAGAATTTAAAAAAACACTTAGATTTTTATTGTTATATATATTACTTAGAATTGGTTCAAATATTTTAGGCTTTGATTTACCTTACCTAACGTAAGATTTTTGGTTTTTAGCATTCAAGTTGGTTGGATTTTTGAGTACAGTCTAAAAAAATTTCTTGAGTGGATCAAAAAATATAAAAGAGGGAAAACGAAGTTGTAAAAGAGAGGGAAGGTTGTGTATTACTATAAAAAGGCGTAAATAATGGGGAAAAAACAATTGGATATGCTGATTATGCTTTAAAAGGTCTTATCTTCAAAGAAATACAAAATACAATTTTTTTTTTAATTCTGCGTATATTTAAAACCTTGAATGTAACTAAAAGTTGAATTAAAAAAGTTGCCCCTTTTTTATCGAATCATTAAATATCATGCTGAATGCATCAAATAAATGTAAAAAAAAGAAGAAAAAAAAGAGCTTACTAATGTGGGAGTATAAAAAGAAGCAGCGGTGGCAGGATCTAAGTTCGAATCCGGTTGATAAGAAGGAGCGGCGTAGGAGGGAATCCTGGGATAGAGGTGCGTTTCGGGACTGTTGCGCTCATAGCAGGCATTTTGTGCGGTCGAACTTCCAATCACTATCTGGAAAAAGAACATTTTATTTTAAGGAAACCAGTCTTAGTACGAAAATGTGAGATCGTCTGCTGTGAAGTCAACGTAGCAGACGATTTCAAATTTTAAAACATTGCCAACTTCCACTCACATTGTTTTTCATCAGTTAGAGCCATAACGCAATAAATGTGAGCATCAGTTATTTCTCTGCATTAAAAATAAGTAAATAAATGAAAAAAATAATCCGTTACATATTTGTAAGGAAGGCTTTTATAAATTAATTACAATTACCCTATGCAGATCAACGTAAGAGTCTACTCAGACAAGGAAACTTGATATCCGCATAAAAAAAGAAATCTTCCATAAAAATAAAATTAGTTCAATCGACGATTCTAAGGACAGAAAAAGGTGCAAATCCAAAAAGTCAAAGAACATTTTTATTTAACCTTGTGCACTCTGATGTTACCTCTGTTTGAAATAAGGAATGTGTGAATGCTTGTGTGAATGCCTGTGTGAATGTCTGGTGCTGGTATTGAAATTTTGTAGAGATGGAGCATCCACTTTTCACTACTAATGTCACAGGATGATTATTTACAAGTATTATTAGAAATTTTTTTAGTTGCCTTCTCCTTTGTTCAATTCTGCTGCATTTAAAGTTTACAAAGTCTTTAATATTAATATTATTTTTTATTTAAATTCCTAATAAACATTAATAGTTACAATAACTCGGTCAGTTTTATTTCGATAATGTATTAATTTCTTTTTTGTATAATTATGTCCTAATTTTTTTTTCTTTACCCATTGACAAAGTGGGTGTTGTTTTAGGTTTGATGGCGTGCGCGCACCTTATTTGGACGTTATCACATTTTTCAACTGTGTTCAAGAGTAATAGTGAACAGTGTGCAAGCGTCGTCATTACATGGGTTGTTATGGAAACCGCTGCTGTTTGATAATTTTTTCGAATTTTTTTTTCTTCACTTTTTTAATTTTGTTATGCATTAAGTGGGTGAGTTTATTTTTGAGATATGGAACCAGAGAAATCCCATAAATGCTTCTTGAGTTGTGAATAAAAGAGAATTTCATCATTTGAACGACATTTTTGTTTTTGTTGTTTCAATTAAGAATCAGAAATTCTAATCTAGAGTTCACAGTGGATCGTTTTCAATACTAATTCAGATGAATATCACAAATAAAGAGGGTCCCTAACTGACTGACACGGTCCCAAAGGTTAGAGTTGAAGCAGGAAGAAAAAACGATGCCTAAATTTCTTTTCTATCAAAATACACTTTCGTGAATAGAATAAATAAAAGTTGAGATATAATGAGTTTATTTATTTACTTATTTATTTATTTTTTACATTGAGCACTAGAAAAAGGTAAATTTTTTGAGAACAGATCATGAAAGCACAAAGAAGGGGTGGGAATTTAAGACAAAAAATGCTTAAAATTGGAATAACTTTCCAAGAAATTGAAATTTCAAAAAAAAAAAAAAATCACCCGATTGTCACCAGAAACTGCTACGAATTCACAACATCTAAAATGGTTAAATAACTCTCCAAATTTGGGTGCTCAAAATCCAAAAAACACCAAAAAATTGTGTGCATAAATAATCTATTTCATGTTAATACCGAATCGAGCATCCATAAACTCTTTAAAGGATGTAATTAAATTGAAATCAATGTTGGCGTACATCTGGAAATTGATAACAACGATAGATTGTTTACAACTGAGCACGAGAAATTGAAAATTTGTCGTCTCACTCGCTGCCGAACATTCCACAGAAACTGAAGTTGGCTGTTACAAAAGGCTGTTAAAAAGTTGACTGTTTTAAAAAAGACAATTATGTTCTCTTAAGAAGATTTAATTAATTGTATTAAATGGTTTTATAGTATATAATTTAATTTTTCTACTGTTCTGTTAAGCTTGGTTCGGATTCATCTTAATATTCTCTCAGTGCTGCTTGATTAACATTATGTTTTGTTTATATAACATTATGTTATTTTATAATGTTTACTGGGGGGTTAAGTTCCCTGTTCGTTGATGCCCACCAGTCCCGATGATTGCTTAGCAATAATTGGGTATACTATAGCCTACGTCACAGGATGTGTTATTCCTACTAAATTTATCTAA